GGTATTGGAATAGCTGAATATTTTAACTTGCACTTGGCACTTTTTTTGGTACTATAAAACACTTTGCCATATTAAATTTCACTTAAATGTTCACTTAAACACAATTAATTCATTAGAATCAATTTTAGGTTATTCGTACGATTCGTACAGGGATCAAATGCTTGACAGCGCTTGACAGCCTCGCGTGTCCTGTCAACTTGCACGAAGCTGAACGATTTGTACTTGAAATTGGCACACGTGAGCCATCTGTTTTTAAAAATTGACACTACTCAAGACCAAAACAGTGCAACGCGCATTTGTTCGAAGATAACTCCCCATGTCAAAAATCGTACGCGTCGTGCATTATTTATGTTTATTTATCTATGGCGTTGTCAGTCAACGGGTGCATATACGAAATATTATAGAAACAACCTGACATTTGAATATTTCGTATTCAACGAATGTTCGTACTTTAATACATAAATGGTAAATTGGTTATAAATAAATAAAAATAATAGTGGATTCCGATGTGTTACAGTTACGCAGAAATTAAAAATTACTGCACTATTCATACTAAAATTATTAATGATTTTGTTGAATAGTACTTGTCAATTAATAGCAATGGTCTCCTGATGGCATGTTATCAAAAAAAAACTAGCTGTAAGTGGAATTCTGTCTTAAGGCAATTAAGGCATCGTGCCTTAGGCAAATTGCTGGAACTTCCCGTACCAAAATTATTATTTTTTTAAAAACGATTAACATTTTTGAAAAAAAAATTACTTTGAAAAAATAAGATTTTTGAGAAACTATAAATTGGCCAAAAAATTACTTTTTTTGAAAAAAAAATTTTTTTAAAAAAAATTTTTTTTTAAATTTTTTTTTTGTTTTTTTTTTTTTGAAAAAAAAAATTTTCTTTATTTTAACATATTGTGGAAGATCTGAACTTTTTTCAAAGCAATCGTACTGTTTTAACTGCATAGGGACAAAATATAAAGCGCGTAAGTGCCGCGTCGCTGTCTAACGCATAAGCATTGGTACGGAACCCATAGGAATTTAACAAAATGTATACTTATTGTTAAAATCTCTATAAAATATCTGATAATTTGATGTGCATATGTCTAATGATCATTTTTGACCGCCAAATGGCTCATTTTTTTACTTTTTCCTCCATATCTCCGAAACCGCTAGACCTACCTTCATGAAAATTTTATCGATTCTTCATCTTGTCAATACAAGTGAAACGTTTTTTGAATTATTCAAATCGGACGCTCCGTTCTCTTAAAAACTGAGTTACCGTTTTCGGCACTTTTTGCCCCGTATCTCGGAACGGCTAGACCTGCCTTCGCCAAAAACTAATCAGCACGTCTCCTTATCAATACGAATCGAATGTTTTTTGAATTATTCAAATCGGTTGATCCGTGTTCCCGAAATCGTCGACGAAAATTGTATCCGCACATACATACACACACATACATACATACACACACACATACACACACACATACACACACACATACACACACACACACACACACACACACACACACATACATCCATTTTTTGCTAAGGTATGCCAAAATGTTCAGAAACCTTTGAAACGTAAAGATATATAAAATTTTCATTTTAGATATTTTGTGATTACTATAACTTACCCTACGGGAAGTTAATATATATCAAATTGATTTATATTTATTTTATATTAAGTTTTTTAATAGTGGTATGATGGTGGTATGCATATTTCAGTATTATTTCTGATTTTTCTTGATAGATAAATTAAATTATCTATTCATTTTATATCGCAGATGAACATATAATAAATAATGTACATAAAATATGAAACGATAATTGTAATGTAATTATTTAATGGATTTTTAATTTCGATGAATTGTATGTTACTTTTTACAACATATATATGCGAAATTTTATAATTAACATATTTCCTATTTCTATATAAATATTAAAATTCATAATTAACATATTTTACACTCACAATATTATTAATATACATACATATACATATACATGTATATATATATATATATATATATATATATATATATATATATATATAAATTACACTTAAATAACCTAAGAGCTATTGGAATGTCCAAATAAAAATTAAACTAATTAAAATTCATACTGGCTGACATATATAAATAATCTAGATACTTTACTTCCTTGGTAGATTGCTTTGCTATAATACTTAATTGTAATCTCAAGTTCTATTTCTTGTGGGCCTATTACTGGTTCCACCAGCGATATGATAGCTACATTTGGTTCTAGCAGACGCAAACTGCAATTTAGAATAAAATTAAAAATCAGAATAATAATAATTGGCACATTTTATTCGAAGAAGTGAAAATCTGATGCAAGAAGGTGCTAGATAGATTAAAAGTTTTGATTTTTATGACAACATGCAGTTAATGCGCTGAAATCAAATAAAGCATTTTGACACACCAGCGTGATTTAAAATAAAAAAAAAAAACGATTTTTTATAAAATTTCGATCAAAAGTGAGCAGGAAAAAGCACTTGTTACATATATTGTATCTCATATTAATAGAAAAATATTTATATTTGAAAAAACTTCGTAAACATTTAATTATTGGTCGAACACATTCACAGAAAAAAGTTACATTACAGAAATTGAAAAGTCACGAGTGTTGATTAATCTATATCATAGTATTTTTGTAAGACTAAAAGTAGACACTAATAAAAATCATAAACCAGTCATATTCTTCAGTCTAAAAAATCCCAGGGACTGAAAATGTACCAACAGTTTTATGAAATTTACAGCTTCTTTTTTGAAATATTTCTGTAACTTTCTGTTTCTTTAGGTAACAATATTAGATTTTATACAATGGCTATTTTTTAATGTTTTTTTTTTAAAGTTGCACAAAAGGTTTCAATACAACTAGTATGAAAAAAGGATCAGCCAACTCGTTTCTTTGTAATTAAGAGTTATTTTTGCTAAATTTAAAAAATCAAATTTATATAGAAGTTGAAACAACTCTTCAATTGAGATCAGTTGAAATTCGAACATTTCACTTTGGCGGCTTTCAATCATTTCTTTGCGACTTGCGAAAAATAGTATTATGTAGAAAATGAATAATAAACATCTTTTAATGGTATCAAAGCATTAAATTATACTTACTATATTTGAATTATATTTTCTCGGTCTTAAAATTATGATAATGTAAAAATTGCATTTCATTTCAAGTGATTAATCCATAACCATTTTTTATAATTTTTTCAAACATACTCATAATGTCTGTAATTGTATAAATTAAATGAAATTGTTTAACACATTTCTTGTCATGCCTTTCAGGTTCTAAAACGTATTTTTTTTGTGTATACCTATAAAACGCAAAACGTGCAAATGCTTCTGCACAGATTCTAGTTAGAATCGCTTAAACTCGCGGCGAAATTCTAAACTTTGATGTATAATTCAACTACTCATCGTAGGCCTATAATATTTTAGTATGTTATTTCAGACTACAAAACCTGTCGTCATAGATAGTTTCACCAAGATCGTCAAAAAAAATTAACATTTAATTACGAACGAAGCTTTTAATTATGGCCGATCTTTACAAAAAAAAAACTAATCAAACAATTTCTAGCCAACATCTTTCAAGCAATTTTTGTAATCTATTCAAGATTGTGCGCTACAACGCTAACAAAAATTTTTACACTTTCTGCTAATTATAATAAAATGGCTTGGTCGTGCGCCGCACAAAATTAACCAACGTTAGTCCTCATCGAGTTAAGTCGAATGGCTTTTAAATTATTGAATTGAGAAAACATCGACGAAAGGTTAAAAATCGTTTTACATACACACACACATACTTTTTCCTAATTTTTCATCATTCTTGAACGTCGAGAAAATATAAATTAGCAAATCGGATTTTTCGCTAAAACATAAACCTCTCCTTCGGGAAGTTAATGAACATTTGTTATGCGGGTCTCACCTAAACGTATCCTTTGTAGCAGCTACGACGCCTTCTGGAGCGCTGACGTGCACAAGCTCGTACGTGATATCGTTAGACATTGTTCTTATTTCAAACAATTCAAAATGTCCCTTGTCTCGCGGTATCGGCAATCGGGACACAAAGTTGATGAAATTGTAAGAATATGTCCACGGCGCATTAATGCATTCATCGTCTCCGACGTGACAATAATCACTGGCCTTTTTGCAGGTGCTAAATTAAACAACAATCAAGTGAATATAATTCAAAAGACATTTTTTCTACAACTTCATTCGTTTTAACTCAAACTTCAAAGAAAAGGTTATATAATAGTAAAACCGTATCGCTGAATTTTCATTGTCTATGTATCTTTTAATCATTATAAGATGATTTGTTTACAAGCTTGATATGATATTATAACCCTTTCGCTACGAGTGTTTTCCGTAAAAGTGACACTGCTGTAGGAGCTAGCAGCCGCCCAAGTATTTGTTACACATAATATTTTAAGATTATCCGATCATTATCGATAAAAATGTATTCAAAATTTAAAAGTTACAGTTCTAAAGGTCTAAAAGCCTCAATAACGAAACAACCGGCTTGGACTATAGGCAAGTAAGACTCTTGAAATTTGATGAAAATTGGAAAATCTTAAGAATATCTTAAAAAAATCATATAGACACATATATCGTTTTGTTCGTAATATTATGCTGCATCTTTTCTCCGAACAAACTTTTTATGTAACCCTTACCGTTTGCGATTTGGATGTTTAAATGTAAAGTGCGGATAGGTTTGAGTAACTATTCATAAATTCGTATTTTATTTCATAAATTCGTATAGAAACTATATAAAAAGTATTATACATCGTTAGATTCGTCTCAAAATTCTGAATTTTTCTTCCATATATCGCAATTTCTTGAACGGTTTGTCCCATGGACGAGTCAGAATTCTCAATAATTTATCTCAGAATGATAAATTTAAGAAAAATTATATACACTGTGAGTCGTTCAAGGCGAAACTCGTACAGATAGATCGCCAAGCAAATGTCGTCTATAGGCGACGCTCGTAGCAATAGGGTTAATAAAATAGATTTACATTAATAATAATGTTGTGTCTTGATTCGTAATTATTTTATGGCACGTATACATATTGAATGTGTATTCAATAACAACATAGGTTGAATTAAGTCCATACTTTTTGCGGTCTTTGAGATAGTTAGGCGGACACTGAATATTGTAGCACTGGTACGAACCGCGCGTGTTAATGCAAAGACTGTTGGCGTCACATGGCTGCTCTAAGGTGCACTCGTCTATATCTAAAAGGTGCAGAAGTGCTTAATGTGAGTAACACATATTAAATAAAATAATTGAGAATAATAATAGTAACAATAATAATAAGATTAATATGAACAAAAGCGAAATATAAAATTCAAAACACAATGTAAAAGTGCTATGTGCAGACTATTCGGAAATGGATGAATGGATGAATAAATGGCAAACCTTGGCATGTCCTTCCATCTGGTCCTAATTTATACCCATTAGGACATTGGCATTCATATGATCCAGGAGTGTTTTTGCAAATACCTATGCATAAATAACGATCTTTGAATTCTTCACATTCATCTATATCCACGCAAGACCTGGAATTAAATATATTTGTTACTAATCTTACTACTTTAGGAGGTCATAAATTAACACTTTTTAGTAATAAATTTTCGTATAATATTGTTTTATTTTTTCCGGGTCCAACAGCAATCAAAACTATTCGTCTATAAGCTATTTGTTTGACTCAATGTAAGGCCATTTCATGAGAGGCAACCAGTGGTGTTGTCGAGCCGGAACGCGCCGAAACGTCTTTCCGGCAAATCATTTATGGGACGGAACGCGTTCCGGCAAGAAAAAATATAAAAAAATCGCTACATACAGAAAATGATTTAATAAGTAAATTTTATAAGTTATTATTCAATTAATTTTTATTAAATGTTATTATTGTAATAAACATACATATATGTGAACAAAATGGGTTTTGTAATAATTTTTGTTTCTTTCCTTTTCGAACTGAACCGGAAAAAACATGAAAACCGATTTTTGAACCGGTCTTTAAATTTTAGCGTTCCGGCAAAAAAATATTAGCACAACACCACTGGCTTTATTAAAGTCGTTTTTAATTTAGTTACAAATTGAGGTGTATGAACTGAAATATTAATTACAATACATAAGTGTATTTCAAATTTCGCATATGTTACTTTAAGACCGAAAAGTGTCTGATGTCCTAATATTTCGGATATAAGTTCGGATATAAGCTTGTTTCGGGCATAGCGGGCGTTTGTCGAATAAAATAAATAATTTAAGACATTCATGTAATGGAAATTGATTGTAACGAAAAAAAGCAATTCTATAAATACAAAAGCATAAGAACTGCAAAAAAATGTAATATTTTAATAATTGGATGAATTTTTTGCCATCTAAGGCAAAAATATAAGCCGTTCGATCGCTTGTAAATTTTTACAATCCAACATGGTAATTTGTTTTAATCATTGTTTTATTGACATTTATTTATTGGTAAATTAGTTGAAAATTTATAGCAAAAGAGTTACCCTGATATTTTAATAGACTTATTGTCTCAATTTCGGCCTACAATTTGAGATTTGTATGCATATTCATAGAAACTTTGATCTTTTAAAAATCTGATGAAGGTGCTGTGGAATTGATGCTCACTCAATTATTTTAACCTGGTAGTAGATTAAAAAATTGTACTCCTAGACTAGTAATTCCCAACGTGAGGCGCACGCCCCACAGAAAAATCCATTTTTAAATTCAAAAGGGGGAGGCAAATTAAAAAATTACACCACTTTAACCCACTTGCTTTGGGTGATTTGAATGTAATTTGTAAATACTGTTAAAAATTCGTTAAATATATTATGATCATTGTTTAGTTTAAGTGAGCACAGGATGCACATGTGCAAATCATATAATTTGTCCATATATTTCCATAGCTTAGGTAAATACGCATCCCTTTGTAGGTCTAATGCAAACTTTCACAATATTACGGATTATAGAAAAATTCCAAATTCTGTATGTATTAGTCTGTATATTTATAAATTGCCATCTCTTCCAGACAGCGGTATAATAATTTATATTATATTTTTAAATTTAAAATTTTTAGAATTCAGTAAGTTGCTAGACTAAGAACATCTTAAGAAAATCAGCTCGCACAAGTTACTCAAACATTTAATAAAATTTATAGTTCTATGTCTATTGTCGCACAGTGCACACAATCGTTTAAAAGTGCAGTAATTAATTTTCTATAAAGTGATAACGGCAAAGGCAGCAGTAAGGTGTAATCGACGCCTTAACGGATATTTTAGATATTTAATACCGAGATAAAAATTCTTATAGAAAAAATAATATTAATAAATTGAATCTTACATACATTCGCATTTCTTATACGCTAACACCTACATCATAGGTTCCTATTCGTGTATTTTTACAGCCTTACGTATGCCTATACGTTGCATTCTATACTACACGCCTTAAATCTATACCATACGCTATTAGTCTAAGAGCCAGTGAACTATTTGACTAACCTGTTTTCACAAAGCCAGAAATTTTTTTAATGATATTTTATTATCGGCCCATTAAGAAAGTACCATTCTGGCAGTCATTCCGCGGTTGCGTCATCATCCCTTCAATTTGTGAAAATGTAAAAAAAACTGTTTTTATAACTTGCTCGCACAAGGCTCAAATTTTGAGGGTGTCTTCTTTTAACTGTTCAGAAAGCATATGTAAAAAGCCAGCCCATTCTGACGGTTGCAAGGGTCTGCCAGACGAGTACATAATAGTCACGACGCGCAAGGGTGTGGGCGCATTGCCATACATAATTGACTAATACCCTTGTATTTGAATAATTAATACGCCATTTTAAAGGTCATTTTGAAAACATCCGTTATACCAAACTTCAACTTTGTATCTCACCTTATGGCCGAGATATCATTGAAAATATGCCAAAGTGGCCCCTTTTTCAAACTCAATTTTTGGCGTAACCATAAAAGATATCGAAAAAAAAATTACGTGATTCTACTCATATTGGATTAAACCACAAAATGTATAGTAATATATGCTAAATAATCCTTTATTATTAGCTAAAAAGGATAAAATAATTTTTCAATTAATGTTTTCGGATAGTGCGTTTTGTTTAATTACTTTATTATTAGCGTTATTTAAAATCTTATTGTTTTCTCTTTTAGTACTGCAAATATGGTTTAAATCAAATTTGTGGAACACATTGAAAAATTGAAGAAACCAGAACCAGTACACCCGCGCGTAACGCTAATAGTAGCCCGCATAGAATTCGTTCGGTCGGATAAGCGATGCGTTACGCGCGGGTGTACTGGTTCTGGTTTCTTCAATTTTTCAAAGTGTTCCACAAATTTGATTTAAACCATATTTGCAGTACTAAAAGAGAAAACAATAAGCTTTTAAATAACGCTAATAATAAAGTAATTGAACAAAACGCACTATCCGAAAACATTAAATGAAAAATTATTTTATCCTTTTTAGCTAATAATAAAGGATTATTTAGCATATATCACTATACATTATGTGGTTTAAGCCAATATGAGTAGAATCACGTAATTTTTTTTTTTGATATCTTTTATGGTTACGCCAAAAATTGAGTTTGAAAAAGGGGCCACTTTGGCATATTTTCAATGATATCTCGGCCATAAGGTGAGATACAAAGTTGAAGTTTGGTATAACGGATGTTTTCAAAATGACCTTTAAAATGGCGTATAAATTATTCAAATACAAGGGTATTAGTCAATTATGTATGGCATTGCGCCCACACCCTTGCGCGTCATGACTATTATGTACTCTTCTGGCAGACCCTTGCAACCGTCAGAATGGGCTGGCTTTTTACATATGCTTTCTGAACAGTTAAAAGAAGACACCCTCAAAATTTGAGCCTTGTGCGAGCAAGTTATAAAAATTTTTTTTTTTACATTTTCACAAATTGAAGGGATGATGACGCAACCGCGGAATGACTGCCAGAATGGTATTTTCTTAATGGGCCGATAATAAATTATCATTAAAAAAATTTCTGGCTTTGTGAAAACAGGTTAGTCAAATAGTTCACTGGCTCTTCTACTATATATTTCATCATATACTCTCAATCCCTACATTATATAACCTATCTACTATATATCCTATTACCTACAATTTTTCTTACACGCTATTTGTACCCTTACCGGGAATCGAACCCGGGTCCGCCGCGTGACACGCTACGACCTTAACCACTACACCACCGTATCGCTACAATCAACCGTCTTATTCCGCGTGTCGTCGCGCCACCTTAGTATTAATTATCTAATTAATTAGAAAAAGACCCGCGGTAACAACAGTGCGTCGCATATTATATTATTGGTGGGGGTACCCGATAGGGTAGTGGTTAAGTTACGCGACTGCCACGCGGAGGTCCCGGGTTCAATTCCCGGTATAGACAATAGATAGGTAGAGGTAATAAAAAAAATACATAGGGCGTAAGGAAAACCTATATAATATAGGTGAATATATAAATAAGACAGTAGTATGTAGGTATATAATAATAAATGACGGTATAGGTATCTCACGGTATGATAGATAATAGATATCTATCTATGATATACAATAATATAGTATAGTATGATAGGTAATAGGTTATCGATCATATTAGGTTAAGTCTTATAAAGTATTGTAATAAATCTTGAGTACTATTAATCATAATATATACCTGTAGGTATTAATGAGTACAAATAATGCCAAAATAAATATAATTAATGTCATTGAAGAATATAAATTATGTACTCAATGATTCCCTCATACTTGTACAATTTAATGTATAGACTATCTGTATATAATAGAGTTAATTATATAAGAAGTCAATATATTAGATTTGTGAGTTCTTATCGAAATATATCAAATTTTATGAACCGGATTTCAAATTTTAGCGTTCCGGCAAAAAAAATATTAGCACAACACCATTGGAGGAAACCCATCGGTTAACCATTTTCCTATGTATGGCAAATATATTAGCTGTACTGTCTAATGGTAATGAGTATATGTTGCAGCAATGACGACCAAAGGCGATATACTTTAGATTATACTTTAAATTGAAATGTATAACCTCAAGTAGAAATTTGACAACATGCTGTCCGATCTTCATCGAACTCGAGACTAGTTTGCATCAGGCCACGCTCGTACCGATTAAGCCACCGCTGGGCCCTTCATAAAATAAATATTAAAATCGGTCCGAATAAAAATAAATTCTAAAGTCAAACATCATAGAAAATATAACAAACTTCAGTATGTATTGAAATATGTAATAATCTAAGTTACCCAAGTTTCGCTATTCGAGCGAATACAGCATGTCCTAATGAGCCAGTTAACAAAGCTTCCTTCATGTACTTAATTTTGAACATGTACGTTCTCAAATGTATTTAAATAAAAATGTTGTCATTTTTAAAACGTACATTAACGAAAATCTGCTAATTACTTTGTAATTTTCTTTTATATTCACCTGTTGTTAGTGTGTAATTTGAAACCAGCTTGACAGGAACACCGATATCCACCCCAAAGATTGTGACATCTATGTTGACAAAGTCCAGGCGTTTCTTGACATTCGTCGATATCTACGCACCGCTGACCATCCTCCCGAGACCTATAGCCGGCCTTACAATCGCAGCGGTAGGAACCGATCGTGTTCCGACATACTGCTTTGTGACATATCTAAATACGAAAATGATGGTTTAATTATTTTGATCAAAACACAAGCAATACCCCTATACTGCCAATTATTTCTACAAAATATTGGCTTTAATCATAACTTACCCGTGAACCATATTTCTCACATTCATTAATGTCTTCACATTTTTTATCCTTAGTCATATAATGCCCGGGAGGACAGTGACAAACATATGAACCTGCTCTATTTTTACACAGCTGCCCTGCAGTGCACTCGTGTAAACCCTCTGAACACTCATCAATATCTGTGTAAAAATATTTAAACTTAAAAGCTACAGCTATAGTGCTTGTGTTTTTTTTTTTGCGATGAGTTTTTGTGGCGTAATTATGCAATATGTACTTTAAAATTAATACCTTGGCATTGGTTATCCTCATTTAGTTTGAAACCATGACGGCATTTAATATTGTTGACGCAATTATAGGAGCCCATAGTGTTGACGCAATGTTGAATTCGAGAACACACATTTTTCCTCTCACATTCGTTTATATCTATTAAAATATAAAATGCAAAACATATTTAATAAAAATGATAATAGTAATTCATTTTTGCAAATGCGTATAAGTCAAATTATGTTACGGTTGCTTTTGGTAGTAATTAAGAAGTCTTACCGACACAAATATCGCGAGATCTTTCATAGCCTGCCGGACATCGAGGTCTTTGTGGAGGCACGTACTGTGGAACGTAAGAAGGAGCCGCCGTTTGTTGCTGATAAGACGCCTGTGGCTGCGGCATATCGTTAGCCGCCTTCAACGTTGCTGGATTACGAACCGGAGCAGGTGGCCGCAATGTCGGAGGAACAGTCGGCCTTTTACGCTCACATCGATAGGAACCCTATAGAATAAACATAAATATATTTTAACAGCATTATCTATACATTAGAATAAGGCTGGATATAGAAAGAAGCCCGATGTATGTGTGCCACACGAAAACCTACTAGACCGAATTACTCCCTGCGAATAGCGAGAAAATCGCTCCATTTTTGAAGCGGTTGGTGACTGGTGAAGGAAAATAGACCACTTACAATAATGTAAGGCAAAAACTGTTGTCATCGAATCGCTGTGAGTCAGCGGAAACGGTGGCCAAGCCAAGATTGGGAATTGGTGGGATCGACAGGGAATTATCTACTGTGAGCTGCTCTTCTATGGCAAAACTCTAAACTGGAACTGAATTAACTGGAAAGAAGCGGCCAATAGGAGAGAAATTGTGTTTCGCCAGGCCACAAACATCGATAATTACTTGCCAGAAGCTCCGGAAATTTGTTCAGGAGGTTCTTATGCACCCATCTTATAGTCATGGCACCAAGCAATTACTATCTGTTTCTGTCTACGGCAAACAGTTGTGCTGTTGAAAAAATTGCTTCAAGGGACGAAGGTTCCCATGAGAGAGGAATAATGATATTTGCCTATCTTTTTAAATTTGGCAACAAATTATCGAACAAAACGGCGCATAATTGATCTAAATCGGATCATTCTATGGTAATTGAAATCTTGAATTTCATGCAAAAATAATGGATTATATATATATATATATATATATATATATATATATATATATTATGTATACATACATATACAGGGCGTCCCAGAACTCAACGTCAAGCCAAAACGGAGTAATAGTATTGATCATAACTATCTTGAAAAAAAATAAAACTAGCTGTAAGTGGAATTCTGTCTTAAGGCAATTAAGGCATCGTGCCTTGAGGCAAATTGCTGGAACTTCCAGTACCGTAACGAGATGATCGAGGAATATTAAATGTTTTAAGATAGATTATTATAAATATTGTAACATTGTCTAATATTTATAAAAATTACATAAACTGAATTGGAAAGTTGAAATTATTTGTTTAAGATATATTAGAACAGAATTAAAATAGAAATCTGAATTATTTTCGATATACAAAAAAAAAATAAATAAAAAAAAAATTTTGAAAAAAAAAAATTTTGAAAAAATTTTTTTTGAAATTTTTGTTTAAGGTATATTAGAACAGAATTAAAATAGAAATCTGAATTATTTTCGATATACAAAAAAAAAAATTAAAAAAAAAAATTGAAAAAAAAAATTTTTGGAAAAAAAATTTTGGAACAAGCTTAAAACAAGCAGAAAGTTCTTTGAATCATTCAAATCGGACGCTTAGTTCCCTCAAAAACTACCATTTTTTGCACATTTAGCTCTGTATCTCCGAAACCGCTGGACCTACCTTTCCCATAAACTAATCACCACTTCTCCCTATCGATAGAAATCGAATGTTTTTTGAACCATTCAAATCGGTTGATCCGTGCGCCCGAAAACGTGGACGAAAAATTGTATCCATACACACATACACACACACACATCCATTTTTTCGTCAAAAAATGAGAAAAAAACTTACCTGAATGTTTCTGCATCGGTACTGTGGTCCCAGCCTGTGACAATCATGCAGTCCGAGTGCGCATTCATCGTCATCTTCGCAGCCTCCGGTAGCCGCGTTGAGCGTGTAACCGGTGCCGCAGTTGATGTATCGGATGCACTGATAAGAACCGATTGTGTTATCACAGCGCTGAGACTCGAGGCAGGCGTGCCGTCTAGTTAGGCATTCATTGATATCTGATAGAAACAATATTAGTAGTAATAGCATTTTAACATAATGTTCTTACGAACCAGCAGGGAGTAATAAAATCGAGACTTAAAAAATATACATCAACGATTCTGGTGACGAAAATTGTCTTCAGAATATTTTCGAACATTTAAAGAGGAATAATTATTTTATTATGGAGATTTTTAGATCATATGAGAATATAGTAAACAAATTTATTGAAGCGCCCAAGCGTCTGAACAGGCAAACATGCCACGATACGCTAAATAATATCTTAGTCATACCATATTTCAAGAAGCTGGCAATGGCCAATTATCCTTCTCACTCTATTGTATATTTGTTTGAAATGTTAGCTTATTATATTTGTATAGATGGTTATAATAAATATAAAAAAACATTGGAGCAAAGAAATTGATATTTCGTTTCATAAAACATAAAAAAAAATTTCGATATGGACGTTTTAGTAAACTATACAAATTTCCACTATAATATTGTAGTAATTTTTTCAATCAGAAAAGACACTCCGCTTGTGTTACATCCGACAATTATATTTAAATAAAAATTTAACTAAAATTGATAAATTTCATTCAAGAACATGAATTGTCATAGATTCTATTGATTCATAGATTCTAATGATTTAGTGTTTATTTTTATTTTTTTTTTGGATTTATTTAAATTTATTTGGCTCTAGCGATTTAATCACTTTCCCATTTATCAATGTGAAGTAATGGTTATCACATAGTATAAACGTTTTATTTAATTTTAAGACGTTTAAGTGCAATTTTAAATGTTCAACCGGAAATATTACCTTGAAAAGTCTGAAAACAAAACACACAACTTAAATCCCGGTACAATTACTAATGAAAAATTATGGTATAAAATTTTAAAGGTGCTCAATGGTTTTAGAGAATTGTGATTTTTTTCAGATACACAAAAAACGTTTGTGCACAAAACCAACTATTATTATTAAAAGCAATAATTTCCTGGGCTCATAATAATAAAGACATGCGATCACTCAAGGACCACTTTAACCTTGGGCCCAATTTATGTTTTACATAAAAAAGGGAAACAGAAAATCAGTAATTATAGTCCTACATATGCAAATAAAAATAAAAAATTCTGCTCAAACTATTTTTTTGGTATTAATGGATTATGTGACTTTCAAGACACGGAGACCTATTATGTTTGCACGTCTGTGTATTATTGTGATTCAGAATTAAGATTGATGCGTCATCTCACTAAAAAGTCATTATTATTTGGTAAAATGTCGTGAAATTAAAATATGGCCTGAAAGTTACGCGAGTCCATACTAACTTTATTTTTTATTTCCACTCGAAACATATTATTGAATAATAGCTACAAGGGCACAATACAAATAATGTAGGATATTGAAAAGAGAATTAAGTTTGGAGAGCAAAAAAATATTATTTTTCCCATACTCTTTTATGATATCTTTATTGTCCCGAAGCAAAGTAATGCAATTTACTCCATTGAAAAGTAGTGATTTATGTGGTCGCAATTTATCTTATGTTCGCTGACATAGTGGCGCAGCATGAAATTTGTTAACAGATACCGACAGGAATCGATGAATATTCTTCAGAGTATATATAATCATTGTATTGTTATGTCTTCAATAATATAACGTATAATTTCAAATGTCTTTAACTTACCAACACAGCCTTGTGTTACGTGATCGAGCGTGTAACCAGTTTTGCACTGACAGGCGTAGGAGCCTGGCAAATTGATACAGTCCTGTGTACTATCGCATGTGTGCTTGCGCTCACTGCACTCGTTGATGTCTGAATTAACAAAATGTATATCATGTTCTCATTACATTGAAAATAAAGCATCAAAATAAACTAGATAATTCAATGAATGGTTCCGTTATCATCACTTTTTTTCTTTCCTCTTATCACCTATCTCGTTTGACGCATATATGGGCGCTCCCTTTAACCAAAAACCGACTTACGTGTTGTGTGTGAAGTCCGTAAGCCGTTCCGCTTAGAAAGTTTTTCCTTAGTTTTTGCTAGATGCCTGTGACAGACGAACGGCCGAACAAATTTTGTGCAACATTTGTGTTTCGTTCGGACCCTTCGGGTACCGGTACGGATACGGGTACGGAACCCTAAATATAAATAAGTAAAATAAGAGAAAACAATTAAACTTAAACCCGCGTTAACCAGGCCGAATATAAGACACCGCAAGATAAGATTGCCTACAGATGGAATAGTATGCAAAGTAGAGTTGGGTCTATCATATCCGAAGCCGAATCAGGTAGGATACGACTCTGTTTCAGAGAGGAGTTATATCCGCTTAACAACTCCGACGACTCCGACTACGAGTTTTCTTTGGAGTATCCCGTGAGGTGTTTTTTTTAAATGTCTTATTAAATTTTCAGTGTTTAAAAAAAACAATAATTGCATTTTGCTTTACCGTCTTTTAAGGAAAAAGTGATTCCAGTACTGATTACCATCTCATTGCCATTTCTTTGATGATGCACTTGCACTCACTTACAGATTTTGCAATACGGAGAGTATACACAATTACGGAAATCGGAAAATTTGAGAACCAAATTCAATTTTACAATTATGTATTTGATTATTTTTATATGAAAATAATGTTGTCAACTTTAGGTATGTAATAAAAACAAAATTCTTGCAATAAAACATTTTTCTCCAAATAATAATACTTCACATTTCCCTTCTACTATTTCCATTCCGAGGATCGGACATTTCAATTAGCATATTATTACTTTTACACAGTTATATAATTATAATACTATAATATACTGAATTTTTTCGTGTTTATATATCATTAAAAAGTAACTGAATAGAAAAAATCTCTGATAAATTTGCAAACTAAAGTTATAGTTATTTCGGGCCATGAAAAACACAGATCAAATGCATTTGTATAATTTTCTTAATGTATATTCCTAATTGCGGTCATTCACGGATAATGATTATCGTAGTTATGAATATAACCCGTATTATTGAATAAATGATGTATTTGAGATGTCAATACTTGAAAAAAAAAAGATTTTTCTATATTTTTGCAGTTATACTTTCGTCTTTTATGAAAAATACAAAATTTGTTATTATGGGTCATTTTATACCTAGGAAATCATAAAATTGCCAGTGACAAGAGAAAGCGACGGCTTTTTTCGACGCGAATCTTTCTTTGTATTGGTGAAAAAACCATAAACGAACGTCTGTACTTGTTAATGGATCAGGACCTAGTTTAGGGAAGTCGGATATGACAAAATATCGGATATAACTCCGCTCGGATTGACTCTAGGAAAGGAGTTATATCCTTGGATATTACTCACTCCAGAGTTACCCAACTCTAATACAAAGAATAAAAATTAATTATCAACAACGAGAATACAGCTTCTTTTAATAATTTTATTTTCAAGCATTATTAGCACAAATCTACGGAGCGCCCATTGTACCATAATTTTATATACAGAAGAAGATATGCGTTTCTACGAAAAGCATTAGTTTTAAAATCTATTTTAATGATTATGCCAAGTTTATGATTTAAAAATAATTCGTTAAGTATTAAACCTGCCGCAACTTACTAATAACAATAATAAGCGCTAGTACAATATACACATTTAGTAATAAAATAATAAATATAATTAGAGCTTACCTAGACAGGCATTACTTAACGGATGCTTTCTGTAGCCCGCTTTACACGTAATTCCGACGCTTTTCGGGGTTGTTGTGCTGGTCGTGCTAGTAACCGCCGTCGGAACGTACATCGGGGCCGTCTGCTGAGTGCTCGGCGTGGGAGCGCTGTTCGGCTGGGTTGACTTCTCAGAGGTAGCTTCAACAGTTTGGTTCGACTGAGTGAACATCGACGGTTGGGTAGATGATAGTTCTTCGGTTGCAACAGTTGAAACTTTGATAGGAGAGATAAAATCTTGCGTCGAATCGTAATGATGCGGAATCTCGTTTTCAGGTATTCGAGCTGAAAGGGATTCCTGTAACGGAAGAAGTAATTTAAATCAGGTATGATTCACCTATACTAACGACTGTACTACTGCCCCGAAATTACAATTTGAATAGAAAATCTTGAACAGTTAAGCATAGAATCCATTTGGAATCATATAGGGATTCATTATTCTGGTTGGATATATCCATTTGGTTTTATATAGGTATTCAGATTTATATAGATGATTTAGTAATAAGAATATTGTATATGATAGATTTCTATTATACGATAGGGCAAAGCACAAAGGTCCAATTTGACTTTGAGCAATTATATTGTGGAAACCAAAACAATTATATCATAACAAACAACACGTATTAAACAAACAACACTATCTGACTATGTTCAGTAAAAGTCCTAGCTAATTATTTCATCATTCTATAAATGTGTTTTTTCATGTTTTTCAAAATGTAACTTGGTTATTTTTACCCCATAGGCGGGGAAAATTGGGATGCCCAAAGGGCAAACAAGTCTCTTTCCAATTTTAAAGAGATTTTACCAAATAATAGCTACAATATTAAACTAATGCAAAATATAAATTTCGTGGGTGCATTTAACACTATAATTAACATTGACTTGGTATTTCATCATCAGAATTGAAATAACTATTTATTCATTTTTTTTCTTGTAAAATTGCTTATTTTAACTTAATTTACTTTTTTATTTGCTTTTTTTTATTTTTTACACCTTTGCCAGGGTGAACGTTTAGTTGCCACCTTTTACCATGCCCAGATGTAAGCTTTTGTAAAGGTTATATAAGAAGCACTGTTAAATCTGACTAAAAATTAACAATACATGTTATAAAACAATTAAATAACGTATACTTGAAAATTATATTAGGCTCAAGAAAACTAAGCAACAGTGCTCACAATCAAAACAAATAACAACGCAAAAAATACTTTTGTTATGAATTTTAAAACATTATCGTTTTTCTCCCAATAGCAAAGTCGCAAGAATCAAGGTGGTGTCTGGTTATACATTTTTTCCCTCTATTTTCAAATATTATTAAACAATTCTTAACTTTACTGATGGTTTTTGAGATATCGGTGGTAGACCTTTTTACCCGCGGATCTTTAAGCCCCACTCTACCCTATACAATATTCTTATTCCTAAATTTTAGTGCATTGTAAAGCATCACGCTAATTAAATTACAGCCAAGCTATATTTTTAATCTAATTAAATCTATCAACCATTTATTTTAATTTAATTCACCTGTTGAGGTCCTTGATATGTGACACAGCGATATTGTCCAGGTTCATTGATGCATATTTCATTGTCAGCGCAGATTCCGGCATCATTAATTTCGACCAAACATTCATTAATATCTTGAAAATGAATAATTATTATTTAGTATCTCTAAACAAAGTGTTCACCCCACACAAACGATACATACCTTCACAAGTGCCTAATTCGGAGTTGATCTTAAATCCTGCAGGACAACTATTTTTTGATGCTTTGTTTTGGCATTTAAAACTACCCAGCGTATTTAGACAAAATTGAGATTGTCTATTGCAATCATCTATATTTTCTGCACATTCATCGACATCTATAAAACATGTGCACTTAGGGAATGTTTCAAAATATTTATTTTTGATACTAGTACTGATGAATATGATGAATCGTATGATAATAATATTTACTAAATTTATCTATTTTAATAATTAAGAATCTAAATCAAAACTAAAATATTTAAACGAATTAAATTTTAATCTCATTTTCATTAATATATATCAGATTGAAAAATAACTAATTTTTATTTAAGAAGCTATAAGTGTGAGTTATATGCCAAAATAGATAAAGATTATTTATTTACCTATACATGTGAGGTGAATTTCATTATATTTGTATCCCTTTGGGCAAAGAGCTGTAGGCCCTTCTTCAACACACGTATACGATCCAATAGTATTGTGACAATTTGCACATTTCACAATCTTCAAACGACATTCGTCGATATCTATACCAGATCAAATTTTAAAATAAAATTATTTAATTATGACAATTACATCCATGCTAAGCCTATTTATATAGAAGGTCAAGGAAAAGTTCGTAGAGTTTTTCCCGATAGACTGTGTTAGTTACTTCAGGAAGTACAGATCGCAGTGACACCAGTAAATGCCCATTTGAAAAGTGACATTCTAAGCATTATTATTAGGTTGTACACATCAAAATTAGTCCAGGTGTTGGAAAGTTACTTGTGTTCTAACAGAAAAAAAATGAAAAAATGCGTCATTTTCCAAAATATTGATGTAATAAAGGGAAGAATTCTATTTACCAATCACTGAAAAAGTTGTTGAAATATGTAAAAAAGTGCAGCAAAATAGACATATCGAAACTGCTGATTATGGTATGGAGTTAGGCATTGATCAGAAAACTTTTTGAACCATTTACGCAAAGTTGGCAACAAAAATATGTCCTTGATAGATCGAATTAACATATCATAACTGATGATGAAGAATAAATCACATACAATAATCGAAAATGAAAAAAACTGATGATGAGAAATCACAAACGTTCAAAAAGCCGAAATTGACACCGAAAAAAGTAAGGCTGTGGATGTGGTGATACCGGAAGGGAATCGTCCATCATGAGCTACTTACTAGAATATTTTCTCAAATTTCTTTTTTTATTTGAAAGTACAATCCTTCCAGTTAATAATGGAATGCTTTTAAGGAAATGCTTTCTTCTAGTGTAGAAGCATGAATTTTAGATCAATTTTTAAATCATCGTGAAAAAGTTCTACTAGTATTTTTAATAAATTTATTAACGTTATAAGAGTACAGAAAAAAGTAAAAAAAATAATTATTAATTTTAAAAATTAGCAGTTATTGTAGTGTAGGGTCACAAAAAATTGGCACGTGACTGTGTCCACGATTTATACCCTCCTAGTAATCCCTACTAAAAACATAATCTAGAATAATGTTGCAATGGCATATACTAGAAATAAGTTAAAACTTATTTTAACCTTGAGTTTAATTTTTTTTTGACAAAATGGCGATTGTTTGAATAAATAGACCATTTTCCTACTCTTTCTCAGTTTCTCGATTTTTTTAAAAATAGTAAAAATTTAAATTTGTGGATTAAGCTAGTATATACCAGAGAAAAGTCTTTAAAGTAGATTCTCTGAAAATTTCAGTTAAATCGGTTCAGTAGAACTCGAGAAATAGTGGACATCGTATGATAAAGACAGTTTTGAGAAAAGCGCGTTTAAAGTTTCGCAAATCAAAGGAAACAGAAGAAGATTATCATGGTCAAATAGCTATATCTCCGTAAATGATTTAAATTTAAAAAAATCCTCTCTCTTGAATAGTTAAGCTTTAAAAATATGAAAAAAACAAAAAAAAAGATTTTTTGTAATATCTACACTAGAACACCCCCTTAAATAAAATTAAAAATTCCGAAAGTATTCAGTAGTTTTTTATAGCATTTTCAAAAAAAGGGATCGTTCAAGTATTACGTAAGCAGATTTAGTACAATTATTTACCCCCCCATCCCCCTTTGTCAGCAAAAGTAAGCAAAGCTGTCACCAAAATGTCACTCAAAATACGAAATCAATAACCCCCTCGCCCCCCTATAGTGCTTACGTAATACTTGAACGGCCCCAAAGTTATTTAGCTGACCCTATAGGGGGCGTCCATTAATCACGTGAGGTTTTTAGTGGGAAGAGGGGTTTTGACAAAAAATCACAAAATATCACGTGGGGGAGGGTGGTGTATAGTAAGATATGACGTGTATTTATTTTTTACCTATTTTTTTTTTAAATCCCAACATTTAAAAAAAAAATTAAAAATTCAACTTTTTCTCGTAACTAAAATTACACGTGATGTTTGGTGGGGAAGGGAGGGGGCGCTTAATTTTGAATATCACCACGTATCACCAAGGGAGAGGGGGGTCCAAAATTCCTTAAAAAATCGATCACGTAATTAATGGACGCCCCCATACGTTCATTTATATTTGCATAAGAGGCCGTTCAAGTATTACGTAAGCACTATAGGGGGGCGAGGGAGTTGTTGATTTGCTTATTTTGGGTTGACATGGGGGCAGGGGAGTCTGGATGATGATTACGTCAAAATGTTTACGTAAGCATGGGGGTAGGGGGTAAGAGCTTTGCTTACTTTTGCTGACAAGGGGGATGGGGGGGTAAATAATTGTAATAAATCTGCTTACGTAATACTTGAACGATCCCTAACACAATATCAAGACTCAGCATTAAAAAAATAAACAAATCAAATACAAATAAATAAGTAATATATTTTAAAAATAAAATATTTTACTTACCATCACAGACTTGCGAAGCAGCGTTGTACTGGAACCCGTCGGGGCAGCGCACCTCCCTCTTTTCGGAGGCGACCGGAGCTTTTGCGTACTGCTGGCAAGTGTAACCGCCGACGGTGTTTACACACGTCTTGTTCATAGGGCAATCATGCATATTCCGCGAGCACTCGTCCACATCTTAATGATATAATTGATGGATGAGATAAAGAAACTGTTAATCCATCAACATTACTGACTTATACAAATATATTCAGAATTGAGATATATGAGTGAGCGTTGTGGTATTTGTAAAAAGTTTCCCATAATGTTCGTCATAATTATGATAATTATTATGAGTACTTGGAAGATTTGAATAAGATCTTTTATCGTACGTTTCGCCGGCATTTTAAGTTATGAACAGTAAAATATTATAAATCCAACTTGGAAAACATTACTCAGTGATTTTAAAATCTAAAACTGTAGTTAAAATACTATTTATCAACTTTCAGAAGCAGAAGTTTATGTTTTCGCAAAAAAGTCCGATTTGCTAATTCTATGCTTTCTCGGCGTTTCAAGTCATTCTGAGTCGAATGGGATCAAATTTGGAAAAAGTATGTGAGTCGATATTTGACCTTTTGTCGACATTTTCTCAAAAACAGCTAGACCGATTTCAAACACTTGAAAGCCATTAGATGTAACTCAATAAGGAGTAGCGTTCAGCGCGACGATAGCCCGAGCAGTTTCTTTGTAATTAGCAGAAAAGTATAAAATTATTCGTCCATGTTTTAGCCCACAATTTTAAACTGATTTTAAAAACTCAAAAACTGTTCGCACCTAAAAATGTGTGAATCGTATCGATTTGTTTTTGCCAAAAATCGTTATTAAATGTTGATTTTTTTGACGATTTTGATGAAACTTTTGTATAACCACAGTTTTTGCAGTCTGAAATAATATGCTAAAATATTAGAGTGGTTAAAATATTCATTAAAGTTCATAATTTCGCCGCGAACATGAGTGGTTCTAATCAGAATCTGTGCCAAAGTATGTTTGAAAGACATCAATTGGAAATCGTATTAATTATTTTTTACTGGAAGCGAAAGTACCATTTTCAAAATAAACCGTTAATAACATATTCACCTCATCAACAGGTAATAAATATTCATCTATATAGTTGAATTTCAATTTTTATTGATGATTGTTATCATTATGTATACTTATTATTGCTATCATTATAATTATGTATACGTTTAGGGAAGTTCATGCAACTTGCCTTAAAGGAAAATGCTACTTACAACTCAATAATATTTTTATGTTAGTTCTGTACTCAAAATACACAGAATGATACGATCCAAATAAAATGTTTTCATTACTATTATGAACTTCAAATGTTAAATTTTAACTTACTAATCCGACTTACTAATTTTGTGCTTTCGCGACATTTCAAGTCAATCTGAATTGTAGGTTTTTAATAATAGTAAGCTACATACGCCGATCAAAAAATTCTCATTATAGAGAAAAATTAATTAATAAATAATAAATCCAGTGAATAAAGTGACAATATTATACATATTTTCATTTTTATGATAATTATCAAAACTTATTAGAATTGATATAATTACTTTTAAATTTAAATTCATATTCCTTTCAGAATTATAATAGTTATTATTTGAAAATTTATTTGAAATTTTTATTTATTTATTTAACGCTTATGGCAATAATATTATCATTATAAATGAAAGAATAAAATTATATATTTTTATATATCAGCACAATAATAACTAGTGGTGAATGGCATCGTGACTTAAGGCAAATTACTGGAACTTACCGTACCGTAATTCAAAATGTTTACAAGCTCAGAAAAGAAAAATTAGATTCATTTTGAAAATTTTGAAATGTATTGAAGATTTTTGATACCCAGTCATGTCGATTAGTCTATACTGTCAAAAATATATTTTTTTTGGACTGCCAAATAGCATTTTTAAAACCTTTTTTAAAATTTGACCAACTCCTCATTACGTCAATCAAGTGGAATGCTTTTTGAATTATTCAAATCGGATGCTCCGTTCTCTCACAAACTCAATTGCCATTTTCTGCAGAAGTTGAACGGCTGGTCCAACTTCTGCCAAAAACTAATCAGCACGTCTCCTTATCAATAGTAATCGAACGCTTTTTGAATCATTCAAATCGGTTAAGCTATGCTCTCTAAATCGTTGACAAAAATTGTATCCACACATAAACACACACTCTACACATCCACTTTTTCTAATTATAAGGTATGCCAAAATGTTCAGAAACCTCTAAAACGAAAAGAGATGCACAAATTTTTAACTTCCCGTAGGGTAAGTTATTGTAATGGGCCGAAAATCGGAATTGAAAATTTTTACATTTCTCGACGTTTTGAAGGTTTCTGAACGTTTTGGCATACCTCAGAAAAAATGGATGTGTGTGTGTGTGTGTGTGTGTGTGTGTGTGTGTGTGTGTGTATGTATGTATGGATACAAATTTTCGTCCACGTTTTCGGGCGTACGGATCAACCGATTTGAATGGTTTAAAAAACATTCGATTCCTATTAATAAGGAGAAGAGCTGATTAGTTTTTGGCAAAGACAGGTCCAGCAGTTACGGAGATAAGGAGCAAAGAGTGCAGAAAATAGAAATTGAGTTTTTGAGAGAACGGAGCATCCGATTTGAATGATCTAAAAAACATTCCATTAGTAATGATTGGGAGAAAGGGTTATTAGTTTTTCGCAAAGGCAGGCCCAGCCATTTCGGAGATACAGAGCTAAATGTACAAAAAATGGCAGTTTTTGAGAGAACTAAGCGTCCGATTCAATTGATTCAAAGAACTTTCTGCTTGTCTTAACAAAATAATTAATTTTGGAAAAAAAAAATTTTGTACCATTTTTTTTTTTTTTTTTTTTTTTTTTTTTTTAATTTTTTGTATATCGAAAATAATTCAGATTTTATTTTTAATTCTGACTATAGTTCTAATATACTTTAAACAAATAATTTCAACTCTGCAATTCAGTTTATATAATTATTATAAATATTAGACAATAATACAATATTTATAATAATCTATTTGAAAACATTCAATATTCCTCGAACGTTTCGTTACGGTACGGGAAGTTCCAGCAATTTGCCTTAAGGCACGATGCCACCCACCCCACTAGTTATTTTTGATTTTTGGACTATTACTATAACTTACCCCACGGGAAGTTAAAAAGACAAAAAGTTATTAAATAAATCTGTAACTAATCAATAAATTTTACCGCACGATACGGAAGGTCAGTTTTAATACTTGGCTCGTAGTGAATTAGCCCTATTATTAGTATTTCGGTAACACGTGGTTACGTCATTCGTAATGTATCCGTTAATTCTATTAGAGAGAGACTTGGTTGAAAATTTACTTATTGACATTCACACATTTGGTGAGAGTGAATATCTTACACGAATTACGAAAATCGTTTTATTGTAGTACCCATTGCCGAAAAAAGCAAAAAGAAAACTAGTGGTGCATGGCATCGTGACATAAGGCAAATTGCTGGAACTTCTCATACTTTTCCAATTGATCAATTATTAATAACAATTGTTTTGAATTTTTTCAAATAGATAATTATAATTACTTATTCAAATACATAATTATAATAAATATCAGATTTTCTATTGAGTCGCCTATTTGAAAATATTTAAAACAATTGTAATTAATTATTGATTATTTTCATTCCTCAAATGCTTAACGGTGCGGGAAGTTCCAGCAAATTGCCTCAAGGCACGATGCCATGCACCACTATTTTTGACTTTTCAACGTCCCGTAGGGTAGTTATGGTAATGGGCCGAAAATCGAAAATAATTTTTTTTGCATTTCTCGACGTTTTGAAGGCTTCTGAACATTTAGGCATACCTCAGAAAAAATGGATGTGTGTGTGTGTGTTTTGTATGTCCGAATTTTTTCGTCCATGTTTTCGGACGCACGGATCAACCGATTTCAATGATTCAAAAAACATTCGACTCCTATTGATAGGGAGATGTGCTTATTAGGTTTTGGCAAAGGCAGGTCCAGTCGTTACGGAGATACGGAGCATTTTCTCAAAACAAAGAGTGCAGAAAATACAAATCGAGTTTTTGAGAGAACGGAGTATCCGATTTAACAGTTTGTAATGTTTGGGAGAAGAGATGATTAGATTTTAGCAAAGGCAGATCCAGCCATTTCGAAGATACAGAGCTAAATGTGCAAACAATTACAGTTTTTGAGAAAACTTTGCGCTTGTTTCAAAAAATAATTGCCTTTAGAAAAAAATGTTTGTTCCTAATTTTTTTTTTCAATTTTTTTTTTAAGATTTTTTTTTGTATATCAAAAATAATTCAGATTTTACTTTTAATTCTGTTCTAATATACTTTAAACAAATAATTTCAACTTTGCAATTCAGTGTATATAAATTTTATAAACATTAGACAATTTTTGACCTGCCTTCTCAAAAATTTAATCAGTTTTCCGTTTAGTCAATACAAATAACATGCATGCTGAATCATTCAAATCGGACGCTTCGTTATCTCAAAAACTTATTTGGCACTTTTTGTCCCGTATCTTCGAAATAGTTTGCTTTTGCCAAAATCTAATTAGCACGTCTCACCTCAATTCTTATTTATCGTATACACGATGAAAAACTTTTTTTATATTATTTAAAAAAGTAAACATTATTAGATGTGATTGAATTTCGCCAGGATCCCATTTGATTTTGTTGTGTGAAGGTGTATATGGCGATACTCGCGCACCGCAAGGGCTGCCATACGATACGTCAGAATAATAGCCTAATGATTCGTGGCATTAATCAATCATTAATAGCGAACTGCACGTGATATAAATCACATGTACCTTTTCATTCTCAACTAATATAATATGAACGTAATCATAATTTAAAATTAATCAAAGAATTGATTTATTGCATTGTGTTTACACTAGTTGCAAATGTAAAAGTAAACCATGTATTACATAATTGATTTCCCATAGGGTAAGTTATAGTAATGGGCCAAAAATCGAAAATGAAAATTTTTGCATATCTTCACGTATCAGAAGCTTTTGAACATTTTGGAATACCTCAGAAAAAATAGATGTATATGTGTGTGTATGTGTGGAGACAATTTTTCGTCAACGATTTCGGGCGTATGGATAAACCGATTTAAAAAATTTAAAAAATCCAAAAAGGTATCGATTCCTATTGGTAGAGAGATGTGTTGATTAGATTTTGGCAAGGGCAGGTCCAGCTAAAAATGTCAGGTTTTAAGAGAACGGATCAATCGATTTGAATGATCCAAAAAACATTCGATTCCTAATGATGAGGAGAAGTAGTGATTAGAATTTGGCAAAGGCAGGTTTAGCCATTTCACAGATACAGAGCTAAATGTGCAAAAATTGCAGTTTTTGAGAGAACTAAGCATCCGATTTGAATGATTTAAAAGACTTTCTGATTGTTTTGACGAAACGATTGCTTTCGAGTAAAAGTTTTTCTCAATTTTTTTTTTTAAATTTCAAAATTTTTTTTTGTGAATATCGAAAAATAATTCGGATTTTAATTCTAATTCTAGCTAAAGTTCTAAACATCACTTATAATACTTCAAATAATTATAATAATTTATTTCAAAACATTCAATATTCCTCGAAAATTTCATTAGGGTACGGGAAGTTCCAGCAATTTCCTTTAAGGCACGATGCTATACACCACTACTAGTTTTATTTTACTTCAAAACATGAATGTAAAACAATTTTTGTAACTTTCTGTAGGGTCTTACAGTAATCGCAAAAAATCTAAAATTTTTTTTTTTATATATCTTTACGTTCCAAAGGTTTCTGAACATTTAGCCATACCTTAGAAAAAATGGATATGTGTGTGTTCGGATACAAAAAAATCTATTTTTTCAAAAAAGACATTTTTTTTCCAAAAATTATAAAATTCTCAACAATATAATTTATTTAATGTATTCAAAAAAAATTAAAGCTTTTAAATTTTGAATTACGGTACGGGAAGTTCCAGCAATTTGCCTTAACGCACGATGCTTTGCACCACTAGTTTATTTCTATGAAAAAATATACAATAAAATTTCATAAACAAAAGATAAATGTCTATTTAATAAAATAAAACTTATTTGGCTTAAGTAACGTAGCATTTTTCTCATTAAGTTAGTTATAAAAAAGTGCGCTGAGCTTAATCAATGGCTAATATTGCATATTTTTAAATTAATATTGTTTTGGTGTATAATCACAGAGTGTCGGGTTCAAATCCGCGTTTTGGACAATCTGATATCAAGCAGCAGTAATATTCATTTTCACTTCAAAATATAGACTAAAATATTTGTTTCAAAGTAAGAACAACTATTCACGAAATAGCTACAATACAGTAAAATATATCACCAGTATTAGAAAAAAGACAACCCCTGGGTCGCATTCAGCGTTCAAATATTACATCAATTGTAGAACAAAGACTATAAAAACAGATAGAACAACCATTGGGTAGTCTTTTAAAAAAGCCACGTAGTTTAGAAGAGGTATCATCACAACAGATTATACATTTTCTATTTCTGATTGCTTGTCAATATAATCAATTTTTATCAAATATATTGAAGTTATTGCAACTTATATTAGAAGACTAATACAAACAGAAATTTTTATTATTATTGTTTAACAGCGATTAAAAAAAAAAAAAACTTATCACATTTGAGATCTAATATGAAGTGATAATCTGATATCATTACAACTTGATATCAAGCTGACCAAGGTAGGTATCGAACTTGGAACCAGTAGCTGCTAATATAAGTTCTTGCCAAGAAGCCTTGAGCAATTCAACGCAAACAGTATATAATAATAATTTATTTTACAGTAAACAAATTCTGAAACACAAATCAAAGTAAAAGATTGTTATCTGTATAACAATCTTTATAATGCGACCTGAAAAGTTTTTCGAGTAATAAATTACTTTCCGATTAATTTAGACGGTTGACCGAAATACATTATTTAAATCATATAGAAATTTGGTCTAAGAAAATACATTTTCATAGACAGAGAGCAATATCTAGAAGCAGTTGTACTGACTTATTTATTGCAAATTAAAAATTGAGTAATGTCTCTACAGTTCAAGCTCTAAAAATAATTTACAATTTGTGAAACCTTGTAAATTATCTGCCAAAGCTTGAAAACAACATGTATGCACTATCGGATTTTATTTTGCTCACTTCCATTTGTGCATCTAGGTTAAAAATAGAATCAATTCAATGAAATTAGTGGTAATGAAATATTCATTCTTTGACAGATAGTTTATTGTAGAAATATGCGGCGCTTATTTGGCGAATATGTATATCCTAGTGTAAAAGTCGTGTCACTCTTGTTTTCTCTGACAGTAGAATTTATTAAAAAATTAACTTATGCAATGATAATCATAATAGTATTTTGTGTTAGTTTAATTTTTTCTATTATCATTTGTTTAACAGCGATCAAAACTTAAAGGCTCTTGGTGTTGTTATGCTAACTTTTTAAACTATGTGACTTTTTATATATGGCAACCCAAACGGCTATTAATCCTATTTCTATTTAATGTATTTTTATTTAATTTCTGAAACAGATAATTTTTTTATTTATTTTATTATTGAATTTATTATTTATTTATATATTTTATTTTTTATTTCTAAGTAAAAACCGATGTTGCTTCTGCTTGAAATCAGGCTATCCGAAGAGGTATTAAAAAATAAAAAAAAATAAAAATAAAAAAAATAAAATAAAAATAAATAAAAAAATAAAAAAAAATAAAAAGAAGAGGTATCAAGTCTGGAACATCTGATTCGAAATCCATAGCTATAACCACTAGGCCACGGGAAAGTTTAACACAGTGGTATCCAACCTTTTTTGCACTGCGCCCCCCTGCTCTAATAAAAAAAATTGTTGCGCTTCTTTAATTTTTTCAATTTAATTTAATTTTGTAAATACTCAACTGATATCATGAGACTAAAAATTAATATGCAATATAATATTATGTAAAAATATGCATAAAAACTAATTTTTTTTTGTTTATTTTTCAATATCGTTCCAAAAATGTTGGGTCATTTTTGATAATAGTATTCTGGAAACAGATGTATGCGCCCCCCTTAGAACAGCCCCACAGGTTGGAAACCGCTGGCTTAACATATGGAATGATAATTATAATAGTTTTTCGCGTTAGATTAATTTAAATGCACTAAAAAAGATATGATAAACTCTTCTACTTATTACTCAAATTAAAAACTTAATTTATGAGGTAAAATCTTCAGGGCAATACATTAAAGTAAAAATTGTAAAAGTTCATAAATTTTGTATTAACCCTATATAGGCCGTTTTTTTTTCACATCCAAAAAATTATTACATGTATACGTGTAAGTATATATATATATATATGTTAAAGTAGTTAATTTTGATGTTGAGAAATATGAGTAAGTTCTTCAAGGGCATACATCAAATAAAAGGATCCTTTTATTTGATGTATGCCCTTGAAGAACTTACTCATATATATATATATATATATATATATATATATATATATATATATATATATATATATTTAGGTACAAAATTGGAACCGACTGACTGATTGAAACCAATTGTTGATTTGTTAATTCATAAAATATTAGATAATTTATACTCTAGAAAGCAATTTGAAAAAAAAAAATTATTTAATCATTCATTTATTGATATTTTTGAAAAACATTTATATGCATTTGTATTTTCATTAGAAAGAAATTATTCTAGGTAGTCGGAAATAAATTCGCGCCTGTAAAATTTAAATTTCTGTTTAAATTTCTATAACGTCTTATAGCCAAAAAAACCAACCAAAGTTTTTCAAATAGTAATTAAATTTCCGTATCGTCTTATCACAATTATTAATGAATTATAATTTGATAAATTAAAGATATTTATTAATTTTCGATTGTTTATTTTTGAACTATTAGCATATAATTTAAATACCTGGCGAAGAAAATGCTATATATCATGGCGTTTGAAAACTGATGACAATAATTTATGTATTAATCAAAATAACTTATAAAATGTAGTTATTCTTCTGGTTATTGTATTAATGAAGAAATAATAATAATAATTAATTCAACAAACGCCCAAGAAAATGGGACAAGCTTTCTATAAAATATGCGTTATATATGCATTAGAGTGGTCCTATATTTTGAATTTATTTGCTCCCAGGAGTTCAAATGCTTCCAAAATGATACAAAAAAAATCTCTGAAAGTTTTAGCTCTTAATATTAACTTTAAGACAGTCCGCACTCCAACCAAAGTTTCTTATGGAAATAACATGGGTAACTCCATTTGTTTTGTTGAAATTTATAACTTAGCGACAAGTGAATTTTGAGTATAACATTGTATTTGCTTATTTTGATAATAAATAATGAAATTACAAAAAAAATTGATATATTTTATGAAATAAGTATTTACTTAGGGAGAAGAACCAAGAAACTTTAGTTGAAGTGCGGACTATCTTAAAGTTAATTTTGAGTGCTGAAACTTTCAGAGTTTTTTTTTTATCAATTTGGAAGCATTTGAGCCCCTGGGGGAAAAGGAATTTGAAAATATCCATATTAAGAACCACCCTAATATGCATACGTATATATATATATATATATATATATGTATATTGGGTGAAAAATATCTAAAATAAATTTCACAAGATGCGTTATAATCTAACGTACCCCACGTAACCCTGCGTTTCAGTTTCTTTGTTTCCTTCTTATTGTTACAGCTGCACATGTCGATAGTAATCCTTTAAACAATTCATTGTTAAATAAAGAAAAGCGACTTCCATCGAAAAATATCAACAAATCAAAACAAAATAAATTTGTGAAGGACGACACAACGAGTCGTACGGCGACGGCGCGACTGCCGCGGACTGTCCGGTGTGCTGCAATCGGACTTGCTGTTGTATTACGGTTACGTGTTGCCTTTGTCATACATGCAAAATAGTGTGACGGCTAGTAAACGTTTTTAATATGTAATAACTGAAATGGATAACTAGTGGTGCATGGCATCGTGACTTAATACTAAACATACCAATGCCGGTCGAAATGACCGTTTCAAACTTTGTGTATAACTTAGATGTTTTCAAACGTTAAAGTACCATTATCAAACTATATGACATTTCTTAGAACATATTAATAATATTTTCTTCACTCTTTGATTTTAATTATTTTTTCAATTTTCCAAAATCTAGTGCACTTATGGGTGCATGGCATCGTGCCTTAAGGCAAATTGCTGGAACGTCCCGTACCGTAATTAAAAATCTTGGACGGAATCCAAAAAAAATTACACAAAATGTGTACACATTATGAAAATCTCTATAAAATATCTTATAACTTGATGTACATGAGTCCAATAAACATTTTTGACTGCCAAATAACATTTTTTTAACTTATTTTTATTGAGAGTACATAACCGCTGGACCTGCCTTCCCAAAAATTTAATCAGTTCTTCATCTTGTCAATACAAGTAAACTGTTTTCTGACGGCCGAAAACTGAGTTACCGTTTTTGCCACGTATCTTTTTTTTTAAAACTTGTTATTCCTTTTTGAGTACAGGGATACAATCCGAGTACCTCTTACTTGTAAGAGGCATGTTGGTACTACAACTATTGCCCCCTCTGCATATACGTGCTGCAGCAATGCCCACGAAAGGCCATTTTCACTTGAGATCATATTTGAAATCTATGATTTCAAGTAAAAATTTGGTATCGTTGGTTTGATACCGAACCGCAGTTGGATTCGAATCCGGGACTAGGATTTGCTAGCCCACGTTCTTACCACGGGACCACGGCCGGCCCATCTTCGGAACGGCTAGACCTGCCTCCGCCAAAAACTAATCAGTACGTCTCCTTATCAATACGAATTGAATGTTTTCGAATGTTAGTAATTTTGATGTTCATTTATATGGTTCAAACAAATGTTCTCGACATTTTCACCAACGACTAGACCTGCCTTTGCCAAAAACTAATCAACACGTCTCCTTTTAAATATGAATCGAATGTTTTTTTGAATTGTTCAAATCGGTTGATCCATGTTTTCGAAATCGTCGACGCAAATTTGTATACGCACACACAGACACATACATCCATTTTTTCTAAGATATGCCAAAATATTTAGAAACCTTTGAAACGTAAAGATATATAAAAATTTTCAATTTCGATTTTTTTGCGATTACTATGACTTGCCCTACGGGAAGTTAAAAATTGTTATGTGGCCTAACTACCGCAGTCGGTCCATTTGACCGCTGGAAAATAATGTTATATGGTGAGTTGTTTCCATCGAAATGTAGGTGCAGATTTATACAAAATATACCAAACGAACCAGACAAATTTAGAATACAGTTTTGGATGGTGTGTAAAGTCAATAGTGAATATATAATAAATAGGTTTTCCTATTTGGAAAACGACTAGAGGAGAGATTATTCAATTCTTCAATTGAATAGTTTATTGTTCTAAAACTGATGAATTCATTCACAGATTTTGAATCAATTTATATAAATCAAATATCATCACTATCACGGTGTATAAAAGAAAACCGAAAAAATGCTGTCCGAAGTTTCAAATCTTACCCAATAGAAATAGGAAAAAGCAGCAAAAGTGTACCGAAAACTATTAGATTTTGTATTAGTACATTGTGTAGTGAAAATGTGGCAGACCAGATGGCTAAGAAATGTAACGAAAATTTGTGGCAACTTTAGGTATGTTTCACCATTTTGAACCTAGCTAGATAAATGCGTAAAATGTATATAGTTTTAGGCACAAATTTTTGATTTAGTTAATTTTCGAACTCGGCGATGCATATTCAAAATCTCAAAAAGATCAAGGTTTTATCAACAGTCCTTACTTCCGTACTTCCCGTACGGTAATTTAAAAATTTTAAAAGCTTTAAAACATAAAGCTTAAGCTTATATTTTAAATTACCATTTTATTAATTTACTTATTTATTAATTTTAAAATTTAAAATTATTTGAAAACTTTGACAAAATTAGATTTTTTTGAAAATTTGAAATGTTTTGAATTTTTCTAAACATATTTATTATTATTATTATATTATTAATAGTATTGATATTTTAACTTTTTTGCAAATTCTAAAATTTCTTGAAAATTTTGAAACCTATTAACTCGGTTGATCCATACTGTGGAACTGTAGAAGTGAACGGTTGGAACTAGAGAAGTAAATTTTAAATCTTGGTAGGAAACCCAAAGAATGGATATAAAATATGTACTTATTATTAAAATCTCTATAAAATATCTGATAATTTGATATGCATATGTTAAATGATCATTTTTGCGCGCCAAATGACATTCAAATTTTTTTTTCTAGATTTTCGAAACCGCTGAACCTGTCTTGCCAAAAATATAATCAATTCTTCATTTCATCGATACAAGTGAAATGTTTTTTAAATTATTCTAATCGGATTTCTGAAAAAGCTGGACCTTTGCCTTTGCCAAAATTTTATCGGGACTTGCTTGATCCGTGCTCTCGAAATAGTAGACAAATTTTGAATCCAAACATGCACACATACACCAATTTTTTCTAAGATATCCTAAAATGATCAAAAACCTTTGAAACGCAAAGTTAGGCAAAACATTTCATCTTCGATTTTATTGCGATTATTATAAGTTACCATAAGGGAAGTTAAAATATAATATTCTAATTGTTCTAAATATTCTAAATATTCTAATTGTGTTGGCATATTTCCTTGAATTCTTTTCAAATAAAGTTTACAAATTCCAAAATAACTATTTCTTTATATTATTTTATAGTATTTTTCTTTTTAAAAATGGTGTCACAAATTATTCTTAGTAAGTGTTCTTATTTTTTCCTAAATAAATAATTTCCTAAATTTAATGTACAAGTTTGTAATTTAAGTGCAAGTTTGTTTACCAAATGCTGATTGATGCTTTGAAAATCACGTCTAAATGGAAATAATATACTTAATGAAACAATTCTTATAAGATTGACTGCCACTGATAACACTGATAACAATTTATTTGATAAACTGCTAATGATTTATTTAGTCTAAAGAAAACTAATTGAATTTTTAATTGTGATAAGTAAAATAAAATTATTAAAAAATCAGTTTTTGTTTCTGGCCGAAAGTTTTATCAAGTAGTAAAAAATAATTCATACAAAGTTAAAAGTAGGGGAGACTGGGTACGGTTGTGCCAGTCGTCATAACAGCTAAACTATACTGATTTTGTGATTGGATCCAAAGAAAGAAAGATAAAGCATATTTGTTCAAACAAGTATCTATTATTGCATTGAGTCAGCGCCCTACATTAACATGATCTGTAAACTAATTTGCTTCTAAAGAGTCGAAAGTAGGCTTTTTTGTTCGTTTTCGGATGTGAACGTTTGTGGCACTCGATCTTTTCTTGTATGATTTGCTTTTATGACTAAATCCATCGTATGTAAGGGCAGTACTTCAGTATACAACGTTCGTAGACAACTGTTCAAACTACCTTTTAATTTACTATTCTCCTAGCTAACTGGTAAATTAACAAAATTATTGCTGATCAAAAAATGGTACTACCATAGCCAGTCACCCGTACTAAATCTAAATATTTTGATTAATCATCTATTCATTCATTAGCTTAGCATTCATTTGTTTTGGTAAGCGCTATCAGCACATACTAAGAGGGCATTATTATTGTTATGAAATTTGTATTTTAAACTTCATTTTCTAAAAAAAATATCAAAAGCTAAGTCAATTCAGTTTAACTTGAATATATTAACAATTCAACTAAGTATAAGATATAAAGCACAGTGAACTCCAGTAATAAACCAGAGTTTCAAAACGTCAATTTTTCCTAAATAGTAATTTATATTAGAACTCCAATAAAACTGTTTCGTTAAAATATGCATGGAACTT